AAGTGACTCTGAGATTCAGAGCCTTCCTGTCGTTCCATGAAGTCTCTTTGAAAAAGAGCATTACTTGAAATTGGCAATTAAAGGAGGCTGCAGGGCTCCCCTGGTGGCGCAGTGGTTGAGAGTCCGCCTGCCGATGCAGGGCACATGGGTTCGTGCCCCCGTCCGGGAGGATCCCACGTGCAGCGGAGCGGCTGGGCCCCTGAGCCATGGCCGCTGGGCCTGCGCGTCCGGAGCCTGTGCCCCGCGACGGGAGAGGCCACAGCAGGGAGAGGCCCGCGTACCACCAAAAATAAAAAAAAATTTTTAAAAAAATGTTGGGTTCATAGTTTTTTCCACTCGTTCTACAAACATGAACTCTAAAAAAAAAAAAAAAAAGGGCTGCAGCTTTCTGCCTGTGAAAGTTATCAAGTCAATCAAGGAAACTCAAAACTCTATTTTGCAATAAGGGTAAAGAGCATCTTATTTCCTCTTTCCTCTCCCTTAAGTAACTGTGTTAAAATCATCAGGGTTATTGTTAGTAGTGGAGAATAGGAGTAGAGAACCAGGAGTTTGGCATAGAGAGTATTCGCATGCAGACACAGTGAGAGTTAACATGGTAAAGTCAGTACAATTTTAAAAAGATTTTTAACAAGATCTCTCGCTCTCTTTCTCTCTCTGTCTCTTTCTCTCTCTCTCTCACACACACACACTCACACATACACACGTATATACACACACATATAATGCCTTTTATTCAAAGAAAAGCTGTTCAAATCAATGTTACAGGACACTAATATCATTACATCTTACTAAGCAAAACTTATTTTTTGGAAGAAACTAATTTTGACTCAAATTTAAACAAAGAAATATTCTTTGTGTTGGAATAGGGAGGGTGCAGAGAGGAAATTCTTAATAAAAATTGGGAATATCAGGAGAGAGATAACCCTAGTCTCATAAGGGCAATGACAAACACATAAATATCACTTAGCTGGGCAGGATATGGCTGCAAAGTAATAGTGATGAAAGTGACACACTATGACACAATTATTATTATCCATATAATGAACTAATTCAGTATAACACTGAAATAATCTTGAGGTGGTAAGCGCTATTAGAGATTTGGATAAGAACATTCGATTTAAAAAACCCTAAAATGCTTTGCTTCATGTCTTTCATTAAACAAGTGAAAATACCTGTGGTGTACAATGACTTGTTCAATCCATAACTAGTTAGCTATCAAGCCTCTAGTCCAGTGCTACTTTTATAACACCCATCAAATCCCAGAAGCCCCCATCATTAGTCCACCTTCCCTTTTGTGGCAATGGGCCACCTGGTAGTATATGTTTCTCTGTATTACTAAGAATTCTGAGGCTGTAACAGACACACCTAGGAACAGTGACTTGGGGAGCAACCAAGATCTGAACTCAGGAGATGCAGGACAGAGCACCTCAGGAATCACTTCTGCCCTAATTCTCACTAGACTTTTGCTTATGTATCTTCTCGACTCCATATTTCACAAGAGTAAGAGTCACATCTCATGGAAGATGCTAGCCTAGAATTAGGAAACAGAGAGGCCAACAGCATTCTGGTTACACATTTACATATTCAAGACTACCAGAAATGATTACTTTAGGGATATTTATCACTGAGTGGACAGAAGAAAAATGACTCTAGTGAAAGATGGCTTTTTAAAGCAATTAGAGGGGACATTTTCATAACAGGGAGTAGCAGTAATTAGGAATAAATGCATATATTATCTTGGGAACACCTCTTGACAGACAGATAATTACCTGGGAAAAGTCTTCTAGATGCTATCAGACTTTATAAAGTTGAACCAAATTTAATTATGTCAACCACACAGTGAAAAATAGAAGGAAGTTAGGAAAGAGCCAGTAAATAAAAATAAGACCATTTTAGGGCACAGGGTATTACCTGTACTTAGATTTTCCCAAAGGAAAATTCTCAAATAGCCAAATAAGCAAATATACAAAAGAAAAAAAAAAAAGAAATAAAAAGGAAACAAAAGAAGAAAAAAATTTTAAAATCTCTCTGAATAACCTGTGACAACTGACATAAATGAAATGAACAAATACAAACAAATCTATGGATTTTTGAAATACTATAAAGATTATATTCTGCTTATAAAAACAGAATGATTCAGAGATAATAAAACAAATGCATATAAATTAGTGAAATTCAAAATCAAAATATTTTCAGTGGTTATGATCAGACTTCAAATGTTTGGACCACTAAGAAAACAGCTTTTGGCTCCTTTTTATTATTTTAAGATTTTTTTTTCCATTATATGACATTTATTTTCATAAGCACCTTATCTTAATTGCAAACAGAGCAGTGAAAACGAATTTAAATTCTTCTCTGAGATCATTTCCTGGATTCTGCTTTGCTGGTTCCTAGCTCTACTTGTTATGGCCTCATAGCTCCATAGAGTTTCATAATGTCGATTAACAAAATAATTTCACAGAGGCAAAAAACTTTATTCTATTCACTAAAATAAACATTATTCAAGTACATTATGAAAAAAAAAGATCATCCTCTTCATACATTTCATCCTGTCATGACAATTCATTGAGAGTTACCAATAAAGAGAATTTGTCCTCTGAAAATAGTTCAGAAACAAGAAGTTTATCATAATAACTAACAGGCTTGATTCTGAAGGTTTACAAGAGCCTAACTTACCTGCTGAATAAATGATAGTCATGAAAAGCAGGCAGAATATTTAAAAGGCAACGTGTTCCAACAAGCTGGTATTTCATAATAATATTTGCTCTTGTTATTTTAACATTTTTCACAGGACCTTGTTCAGTTATGGGCTAAATAGTCTAAAATTTTGTAAAAATGTGATCAATAACTTTTTCTTCTCTGGAGTATTGGATCCTTCAAAAATCTTTAAATTAACATAGCGACATATGAAGAAATTCCCAAAATATTCGCAAAATATACATCCCATGCATTAATAGCCCATTTAACCTCAATATTTATTGCATCTGGTTAGAAACAAACACATTATCCAATGCTTTTGGAAAAAAAAAAGGAAAGAAAACCACTAAGTAATCTATTATGATTTATGTTCAATTTCAATATACTCAACTTATAAAGTTCAAATAATTCTCTTTCTTTGAATTCAGCTTGGATATGTATATACAAGGTAATATACATACCTTGCATATGTATAAAGGTAGAATTCTTTCTTATTTTATGCCACTTAGATTTGGTGAAAGAGAAGCAAAGCATTACATTATTGTTTTACAGTTTGGACTTTGAGTTCCTCAGCTTGCTAATTCAAGTAGGAATTCTAAGCAGACGATGACCAGGCAGAGGATACTACTTTTAGAGGCTCACTAAATAAATAGCTGCCACATTAGAAAGAAAAATACATCAGGCGGTCATGACTAATGTTCAGTTTCCAGTAAGTGCTAGCCCAAGAACTAATGCTATCTCCTAAATTTCATTTTGTGCCACAGAAATGCAATGCCCCATAGGAGATTAGCTGTGGTGCAGGCTAATGAACTCATAACTATTAAGTTTACCATAATAACAAATATTAAGCTTCACTGATGTATTTTTCAATTTTCAGTTAACACCATAGTTCAAAATCATATTGTCTCCCCAAGCAGAAATTCACAAATGTTCGTACTTGATATTTGTTGTTTTACCTTTACAAGGACTCATATATTTTCTTGACTTCTGTTGTTTCACAAAATACAATTGTATACTTTGTTCTCAGAGCACAGGATAGTCCAGTTTTAAAAATCCTCATGGTTCAATTCAGAAAATTGAACTGACAGTTCAATTCATTCAATGAAAGTTTGGACACCTACTGTGTACCTGATTCTATAGCTAATGTTTAACAACTGGAATAGATTAGTGCTCCCTTGATGTAACCCTGCTAAAGGAGTTAATATGGTTACAAGGTCAGGTTATTTGAGTTTAAAAGGTCCAGGGGAAAAAAAATCACCTTACTTTTGCAAAGCCTGAGTTTGACAGTAGCCTTGGAACACTGTGTCTTCCTAATGTGAACGGGAGGCTCTTAGTTGCCTGTCTTCTAAACTACCATGTCCCTGTGGGTTTCAAGGGTCTAATATGTCTGTACTTCATAAAAGCATGCTTTCCCAAGCATCTCTGTGTCTTGTTGACATGAAAGAAAGCAATGCCATGTATGTGTGCATCCCAAGGCCCCTTTTAGATCTAAATTTCTATACTGTATAGTATCCGTAACTAAGAAATAGACACTTCATAGTTAACAATCATAACTTTTTGTTAATATATTTTAAAACTCAATAAACAGCCTGGGAAATTTTGTTGTAGTTTCCAAAGCATCCATCATGGTGGTGAGTACATAGAAAACTCCCAAGAAGCTTTATTAGATTGATTAAAAGAACATTTCTACAGTTTTATCTGAGCTCTAAAATAGAATTTCTGAGATTCATAAACCAATATAAATATTTAAGAGAGAGTACAGAGGCCCTAAAATGCTAAGCACCTCAGGACTTTACTTTAGAATTTTACATTATCAAGCCTGATTTTTCACTGTTTCCACACAACTTAGGAAATAAATAAGAAAATCTATGCTTTACTTAATAGGATAAACTATAACCAGAGCAAGAATTAGGGCTCAATCCTGTTAAGAACAAAGAAAAATTCACCAGATTTGCCAACCACATGTTTCCTTTCAGAGATTAAGGAAAATGTAAGTGATTTAGGCTATGAATACATCAAATCATCTCTTTTCCGATCCATACACCTCAGCCTTCATGGGTGAAGATCTCTCATGTACGTGACAAAGAGAAGGAAATCTCCACCTGTAGCAGGAACCCAACACCACTCTCTCAGATATTTACAAGATATGGGAAGTTACAACCTTTCTACGTATCCATGTATATGTTTCCTGAAATAGGCATGGTCTATACATATAGAGACTCTTTTATTAACATATATGTCTGTTATACTAGTCTGGTGATTTTCCACATTTCAAATTTTTCATTTATAAATAGAAATATTACCTTTCTTGCTTCTTTTATCATCTTCCGAATGGTTTCCTTAATTGTAAGTAGTTGTGCTCTTGGTGGATGAAAGAGGAGGTCAATTTGGGTACCCCTTAAGAGTCCAGGCATCACATATGGCCAGCCCAAGTCAAGATTTGGAGCTTCCACATCAGACTCAATGGGCCAGTAAGTCCCTGAAGATGAGGTATCATCGCAGGAATTATCAGTACCATATGCTGTGCATTGTGCCACTTTTTGAACATTTTTCAAAATATAATTAATTTCCTCCTCAGCTAGAAAGTCTGACACTCGTTCCTTGGCAAGAAATTCTTGGTATGCATCTAAACCCTGTTCAATCAGTGTGTCCACAGCTACTCGATACCATTCCTTGTAGTGAGGTTCAATGTAATTGTCTAATTTACATTCGTCATTCAAGGAGGAAAGCATTGATGAGTTCTCCATGCTTGCAAACCTTTGACAATGGCACTTTCAAATGCCCATTCATGCAGGGATGAGAGGTATCTGGGTATTTAAAAAGAAGGAAATCAAGATCAGTTAGAATTCTGTAACCAAATGTTTCATAATCCATGTCAACTCATTTTTACATTTACTCATAAAAATGAGTAGCAGTAGCTCAATATGACATACATTTCATATCCAAAGTGGCAATAATAATACCATAATTCACATATCTATCACAAATAAGCTAAACAGAATCCCATTTGCAGACTGCTAGCTGATATTCCTTTTCCAAGTTACCTCTAACTTTAGTTTCTCATCTAAGGAAATACACCTTCCTTTTCTGATATCCAGAAAGTCCATCCTTCTTAACTTTAATCTGGGATTACACATGGTGTGATCAGTTTCTTTTTGGTTTTAAAATATTTTAAAATAGAATTAGAAGAAAACCAATGCCTGGCCAGCCATTTATATAAATCTTACTGATTACTTGTTATACATATATCCTGATGAAATATAAAAAGCACAGAACACTTGTTTTCCAGGAACTTATTAATTAGACGAAGAGGCAAAATGTACACACAAAACTGTTTGTTACCACTTTGAACAAAGACATATATTGCTAAGGGCCAAAATGAGTACTGTTTGTAGTCAATGCTTTCAGAATAAAAACAAGTAGAGATCAATATGGAATAAAAGAGTTACGGATAGCCTTACACAGGAGGTGGGCTTCAGGTGAACCTGGGGCAATGAGTAAGAATATCATCAGGTGGAAAGAAGGAATATTTTCATCCCACATAAAAATGTAAAACATAAGAAAAGCACAGAACAGGTATGCGCTTGGTACATTCAGGAGTTAATTTAAAAAAAAAAAAAAAAAAACCTTGGTCTGCTGGAAATTAGGATCCTTGTATTAGGGGTAGGAGATAAAGTTGAATAGACAAAATGGAGCCAGGTGTGGAGGGCCACTGGAGACAGTTGTGATTCAGCAAAACTTGTGTTTAAAACAATTAGTCTGGCAGTATCAGGGGAGTGGAGGAGAGACAAGTAGCAAGGAGAGTCTTTCAGAGTTCAAACTCTCAGTGAGGACATGACAAGAATATTCAAGTGATGGTTCAAAGCATGAACTCCTGAAATTTGATGGCTTGACAACATACAGGTGATAAAAAAATTCAGGACATCAAAGACAATTCAGATTTCTCTTAGGAATTAAAATCTGCCTATCTGCCCCATCCCTCATGCCCACAAAATGTTATCTGTTCCATAATTCCCTGCATGAGATACTGGACTGGACCTTATCTCAATCAAATAAGGACTTTCCAGGCTTTTGAAGTCAGAATCTTCATTGTGTGGATTCAAACAAAGTACAACCCTATGATGTGCTACAAGCACAAAAGGGCTTATTTGACCAAAAACATCTTTGTCAATGGCCCTGCCCTAGTTTACAATTTTCCACTTCACTCAGACTTTTCGGTCTCAGGTTTACCAAAAATTAAATCTGATTTGGGAGGGTAACCCAGGAAGCCATTACCATTTATTAACTCCTTACCTGAAAATATGTAACAAGAGTCACTACTCATAGACAGAAGTCGTGT